AGCAGTCAGTGCATGTGTGTGTACGCTGTTTTAGATTGATGATAACGTAACCACATGGTCGAGCTGAAATAGTAATGGATTATATTGCTGCTTTTCTCTGTCTCTAGAGAAGCCCAGGTACAATGGACCAGCACCTCCCCTGAACAGGTTTAACTTATGGCCTGGGTATCGCTGGGATGGAGTGGACAGGTAGGCATTCCTCATCGGTTTGTATTGCACCTAGCATGGTGGTAGAGGTAACAGATGGGCTTCTGCCCTGGAGAGCTTACCCTTAGCTCCAGGGTAACGCAGACAAAGGCATGGGGGAAGTATGCGGTACTGCCTGCACACAAAGGCGTTTTCACACAGTCTCTTGGCTTACTGAGCTTCCAAACCTTTTTTTTAAATGATGTGAATTTCATGCCAGAGTGAGGTGCTGGCTCAACACCCCAGAAGACCAGAGTCCTCTGTTGGCAAGCAGCACTGCAGGCTTCTCGTTAGAGCTGCTTGCATTTTGGGGGGGTGAACATGGCTTTTCAGTGGTATGGAAATGTTTGTGTTTGCAATTTTACAAATAGTTGGTCAAATTGAAATGACAAATTATTGGGTTTCAGTTTTTTTCAGGTGCCTGCCCCCTCCTCTTTTCCCCTTTCCCATCCTCCCCCTCTTTTTTTCCAGTGAGGTGGGAGGAGGGCCCCAACTGCTCTTTTTTGTATTGAATATAAACAATTTTTTAATTTGATGAAAAATCAAAAACTTCCATGAAATGTTTTTAATTTTTCACAGAAAATACTTGCCCTTTTCTCATCATCTGTGCTTCCCACACCCTGCTCTCCCCCTTGCTAATATGCCTCAGTGCTGACATTTGCAGACCCTTGCTATGATGGGCTGGGAGACCTATCTCCATAGTTTGCCTGTCTTGCCAATGTGGGGATACGTGGCCTTTGCAGTCGGGACATTTATCATGAAAAACTGGAAGGAGACCCACCTAATTTGCTGTACAGTGGCCACTGAACTGCCACCAGATGGCACCAGCTGTTGTTAACTACAGATGGGGCTGAAACTGAGCCAGCAATCTAGAAATGGAAGGGAGCTTGAGCCATCTGGTCGTTCCAGAAGGTTTCATTTCTCAGAAATGGCTTGGTAAAGTATATTGTGCACCAACCCACACTCTTGTTGATATTATTTTGTAGGTCTAATGGGTTTGAACAGAAGCGCTTTGCCAGGCTAGCCAGCAAGAAGGCAGTTCAGGAGCTTGCATATAAGTGGAGTGTTGAGGACATGTAAACAAAAGAGAAAACCAAATGGAAGACTGCTCCTGGCTCCCCTTTGGGGAGGAAGTGAGACCCCACTACAACCTCATGACATTGCAAGAGCTGTAAGGAATGGCTCATTCTTCCTTGAACACCTCTTCTTTAACACTTGGCATTCAGTGTTAAAATGGACTACCTGGGGGTGAGAAGGCTGCCTCTAAAGGAAAGTTCAAGGTGCTCCTGGAAGAGGATGAAAACAGGTCACACTCTCCAGTCAGGCAGAGAGGAGAAGGCGGGAAACTTTGGGTCCCTTGAGCAAAGAGAAGAACTCCTACAGCTTTACTGCGAGCAGCCGGAAAGTGCAGTATCCAGCTACCTGCAGGAGCAGTTCTGCTCTCTTGGACTTGCTGTGAGATGCAGAAGAGACACCAGTTTCTGGCATTAATATTTTTTTAACAAATTATATGTAAATACATTTGTAATCCTATTTTCAGCCAAACTCTTGGTTCCCTGGAGGTGTTTTTGGGATCTGCTGATTTTCAGTTGTGTCCCAAATCTCAGGTGCTTCTCTGGGGTGCGGAGAGGATTAAAGAAAGAAAACTCATTCAGAGAATTATGCTTTTGTGTGTCAAGATTGTAAACTGGAAGTTTGAGATTTCAGCTGTGGGGAGCTCAACAGGGGTTTGTAGGCAGTGGTGGCAGCATAGGCTTTAATACCATCAGCTGGCTTGTCGCTGTTGTGCCCCAGCAAGTCTGCCTGATGTCATTGCTAAGGAGCCTGAAGTGGCTCTTTTGTCCTGCAATATGGATTCCCCGACTGGCCGTGAAAGCCCCTCCTGTTCCTAGTTCTGAGCTATGCTAAGTAGATGAATATTTCCTACAATGCCTTGCTCCATATGGTGGAACATCACTGTCTGGTCCCTTCCTAAACAGGGTTTTTGGAGAGAGGGGTGTGGAGGAGAAACTCTTTTGTTGTATTTGACAACAAACCCATCCTGGCTAGAAACTCTGGCAGCTGGTCTAGGTTAACTGCTCATAGAAAGATGCAGTTAATGGTGGGTTTAAATGTACTGCCCTGAATGTGATTTTTATTTTGAGCATCTGATGGCAAGGGGTTGGTCTCTATCACGAGGGCTGGCAGGGCCAAGCTAGTTGCATAGTCACAGCATTGCTGTCTGCATGTTAGTTTAAACCTGAAATCTGACTTTCAGAAAAGACGACCGCTCTGCCAAGACTCTGAGCCACAGCTAAGGTAGAGACAATGTGTTGAGAAAGCACCTCTGATCTCACAGGTAGTTGGAGTTTTCTCTTTCTTTACTTTGCAGAGAGAAAGTGTTGAATGCCCCAGCTGTTTCCATGGAAGGTCCTTGCCTTAGTAGCAGTCTGGGTCTTGGGATAGGAATTAGCCTCCCAGGGTTCTTATGCTGCATGAGGGTGCTGGGTGGGAAGTATAGTGTAAAGGCTTTCTTAGGAAATGTGATTCGTGGAGTGGTTTCTCCCTGTCAAAAGGCGATGCTCCTTTTTTATTTAACAGGTTAAATTTCTAACAGT